TGATATTATCAGTGCACCACCATATTTCATATTCATACTGCCAAACTCATTGAGACACAAATTCCCTTCTCTCTCATCATGCGTTGGCCTTTGTTCCTGATGGGTGGCTCGACCACCAATACGCGGATGTTCAGTCAATGATTGACGTAATCTAACACTGCTACGGAAAATCCACCATTTAGAACGATTTTCCCATTCAAATACCGCTTTGTAAGGGTTTTCCCAGCTAGCAATGTTAGATTACCAGAATCTCAGCAGGTATACCTTTCAAGTGAACCACTTACAATACTACCCATGGCCTGTGACCCCCCCCCCTTCCGACCATTCCTTCTGGTGGTTATCCTTGTCCCTGCATGTCCCACTCAATGGATGCCCATTCTCTATGGGTCAGAAACCCAAATATTCTCAATGATAACTCTCAGTTTTGAATCCCATTATATTCATCAATTACGTCATTATATATATATATATATATATCATATTAGATCCAATGAAATTCCTCTTCCGCCCATGTCTATGATGTTCAGCCCTATCAAACCCGATTGTACAATAGCTTACATCATGTTTACCATCGCCTCTAGAATTGGTTGAAGGGAAATTATTAGATATTATTAGGACCCCAGGCTAATCTATGGGAAAAACATGGAAAAACACTGCTTTCCTGAGGTTTGTTCCTTCACTCCATCTGGTCAAATATGGTTAAATCATACTTCACCAACCTGAAACCAGGTGATTTTGCCATGGCTCCCCAGGCTAACCTGTCGGTGGTTTGTAAGCCATTCAACTTGAAAATGCTTGGGGGAATCAGATGAATCACCATCTACCAATTAAGCTAAGAGATTCTGATCATCTTGATTCCTATCCTATTATGTCATATATAATCATATATATATATATACATCCATTATTATCCATTGATATCCCATTTTTGTACCATAAAAGATCCATTGATCTCCCATTTTCGTCACCTCTGACGTCATGGCTCGGAGCGCTCCGCCAGGGATTGCGCCAGGGTGGGCGACGCGAAGCTGTCGGCGCTGGCGGTGACGGGATGACCTTTCCTCGGGTCACCGGGTCGTCACCAGCGCTGCTGTTACGGTCACCCGGTTATGTGGATGTGGGTCAAAATGGAAGACCTAGGGGACCACAGATGTTAGTCTAGTTTAATATTAACCATCCAATTATTGGGGTACCTAATTTTGACCCATACCCATGTAACGATGGTTCTACCAATATACAGTTAAGAGTTTTAAGCAACTAATAAGTTTAGTTGATAAATATAGTTGTAACGTTTGGTATATAACTATTTTTTAGAAATACACCAAATGATGTAACTAGCCTTAAAAAACTCATCTATAGTGATATGTAAGCCCTGTAATTATAGCTAATCTATAACTATAATTAATTATCAACTTATAACTTGCCAGGAACTGCACGAACCCAAGAAGGTTGTAGGGTTAAGGTTGTACCTTAACATTCTATGGTATATATCACCATCAGATATGGATATTTATTCATTCATTCGTTTGTTTTATTTATATAAATAGAATATTTGTATTATATATATATATATGATATATATTTACAATATAATATATATACGTATATATATATATATAATTGCATGCTTGTGTAGATTGTTTTCATTGCTGTTACAGGGATATGTGAAAAAAACGTCAACACCCAACATATCATTGCGACCAGGCCCCACACTTTCCGCCATCGGCCAACTGGCCATGGGGATTTGATGCGGTATGGGGGGTTCCTAAAATGGGGGTACCATGGGGTACCCCAAAACCGCGGGTTTCAATACTAAAATGGTCTAATTTCGGATGACTGGGGAGTACCCCTATTTTAGGAATCCCCCTAACTTTTGGATATTTACTTGAGATATAACCTTGAGCCATCTTCAATAATTTTGAGCCAAACCCATAAACATCATAAACGCATATAAATGAAAGAAATGATCGTTCTTCTGGTGGCATTCTCCTCGCACTTCGCATTGAAGCAATGAACCTTCCTCCGGTTTGCCCTAGTCGGATGTGGGTTTGTCTGAAGATACGGCACCCGCAGATCAACTGATTAATCATCGTTTGGCCAATGGGGGGGTACTGTATATGAATTATATTATATATGCCCCATTTTCAGAGACACCCACGTGATGAATCTGTCGAAGCCTTGAAGCCCCAGTCACTCGCGGCCAAAGAAGACAAATTTCGAGATGTCCACCAAAGGGCGAACCTGTGACCGCAAAAATATATAAAAATATGCCTGAAAAGCCACGAAAAATTACACTCTTAATCCAGAAAATGAATGAAAATGATGATTGAATGGTGATGAACCAGTGGATTTGGGGGTGCCCCATTTCCAGACAAACCCATCTCAAGCTTTCTCCTCCTTGCAATGTGATTTTTTCCTCCTCTGCGATGAAGCGTATCATGTTGCCTGGATGATCACCAGGAATCCTTCAAATTTGGTCCATTCTATTTCGATTCCTGCAAGAAGCTCCTCCAACCCCACCATTCTTTGGGCGGCTCCTGGCTGTAGAGATATCGATACTCCGCCAAACGAGCCGTCAGACTTTCACCCTTCCCGGGGCATTCGCCCCATGACACGTGGTAGGTGGCGATCGGAAAGCGAGGAGCCTACGTGGCCAATCTTGGATACCCTGCAAAAAAGAACGTGGCTGTTATAGATGATATGTGATATGATGTTATATGATGTTATACAATGTTATATGATGTTATATGATGCTATAGATGTTGGATGATGTATTATACAGTATATTCCCATTAAGGATTTTAATATCATCGAAGTATATTGAAGCACTAAACCATCCACACCCAGCCTTCTTCAATTCCTTCTCGAAGGTGCGGGTCATAGGGTGTCCAGAAACGAAGCTCTGGTTGGTGTCCAAATCGCAGGGTGCAGTCTCCGGATGCGAATTCACCCAGTGCTCATCGGAAAAGCGGCCACGGCCAACACACCAGGGCGCTCCATTGTGGCGGCCGAGGAAGTCGCTGTCCATCTTCTCGCGGAATTTTTTGGGATCGATGAGTTTGGCAATGTATCCGCAACGTGCTGCCCACATGTTGCCGGGGGTGTGCGGGTGCGGCACAGGCGTCATTCGGCTCGAACACACGTTGCATGTCTTTGGCATGTGCATGCACTCCTTCGAAAGAGCCCCCGAGGTCAAGTAGTAGCGATCAGTGGCAGCTTGGCCCTTCCATTTGTGAAAGGAACCCTTGGAGTGCAAATACACCACCAACTGCTCTGGGTCTGTGCCATTGTGCTTACAGAAGGACCAAAGGTCGTGTAAGGTCAACTCCTCAAAGCCTTGATCATAGTGGGCGATGAGCTTTGTTCTTTCTGCCAGCTGTTTGGACAACTTCAGACGTGAAAGGTCCTTCAAAGCCCCTATGGAATTGATGCGAATTTCTTTGTCCAGGGGATGATCCACCAAGTTCAGCTGCTCATGAACAATCTTTCTGACCCTTGGGATATCCTTCTTTGTTTTGATGAAGAGGTTGTAGAAAATCACAGCCCCCGGAGCCGACTTCCTGGCTTTCTGTGTCTTCTCATCGATCTGCAACAGCCCAGTGCCATCAGTGCCATCGCCATCGTCATCCCGGTGACAGGATCCCAAGGATCCCAAGGCGACAGCACAGAGGAACCAAAGCCGCATGGCGATTCGAAACGGATTCGGCGATTCGGTCAATAGGCTTGGCTTTTGAAAAGGACCATAGAAAAAAAAATTGGGACACCATTGGGTTTTTCCAGCACTGAAGATAGATTTTCCCTTCAATAACTCTGGGACAAAAGATGACAAAAGACGTTCAAGCTGGAAAATGATCGAAAATGAGGGGCACTAGAAGTGAGTTTCCATGATATTCTCCTACAAATTGCCATTTAAGAAGAGGTTTCGTTCGAATTCCAAATGACACCAGTGAGATTTGGGACCCGTCATCCCAATAATCAACCGCAGTTGGTCACGAAAAAAAGAGAATCCCCAAGTTGGGCTTATTCTTTGGATTTCTTTGGTATTTGTGTCCTTTTGCAACATTTTCTGAATTTTCACAGCATCTATCGCTCCACTTTGATCCTTTCCCCACCCACAGCCACACCAATCGCTTCAAGGAACGGTGCAAAGCTTCCCTCGGCGCACAATGAAATGCCAAATGTCCAGCATGATCAATACATGGCTTTGTCTAAAGTGGAGATATAATCGGATGTTTAGGGATTTAATGGGAATAGAATAGAGGATATATAATGAGCATATAATGGGATGATATTCACAGATAATGATTTTATATGATACATTCTGAGATATATGTTAATAGGGAAAACGACGACAAACCATCAAATTTGAGGGTTTGCCGTGGTGTTCCCTCTATTTTCCCCGTTGGTGACTCGCAAGATCTCGCAAGATCTGGGTCCGTGGAAGTTGGGCTCCCTTGGGTTCCCGTGGCAAGGGTGTCATCATGGTTCATGGCAAAGAATATATATATATATATATATGAATATATTAGTTTGTTTTGCCATGATGAACCATGATGAACCATAATTTTGGCCAAAACTATAACGCAATTATTAGATCTATTCGTTTGTTTTGGCCAGTCACACAGGAAAGAAAGGAACCTAAAGGATCCTAAAGGAACCTAATCCCATTCTATGGTCCCAAATAATCATTTGGTTTCATCCCCCACAGCCAGGTTTCTGGATGTTTCTGGTGGGTCTTCATATGTCATTCTTACCACAGAGTCACAACTTGCGGGAGCCCAAGAATATCCAAGAATGGCCCAAGAACCCAAGAACAATTTTCTTGGCACCGCCGGTGTGCATCAAAACCCTGTTGTTCATCCCAAAAGGCCCAAAAGTCAATGGCCTTCATCCCAAATTCATCATATTCATCCCCAAATAGCTGGATATTCATTGTTCCTCACCCAATTTGCCGATGGTCAGAAGGGTCACCAATGCTTCCAAGGGGCCGATGTAATCGTAGTCGAAGGGGCCGGGCGCCGCCTCCTTGACACAGGCCAGCTAAGCAAAGTTAATAAAACACAACAAAATTGTCATCAACGTATATAAAAATGTAATATGAAACATAGAACGCTGAGTTGGAAGATAAGACCATATCCTTCTTTTCTCCAAATTCCATACTTCCACCTTTTCTTTACCAAGTTCCAACCATGCTCCAAACGTATAAGAGTAAACGACATCATTTCGCCCCAACCAAAATGGCTTCCAGTCGAGAACGTCCCCGGATCCTCTTTTCGGAGGGTGCAGCCCTGCGTGTTGAAGCTCCCTGTGTACATCACTACCTGAGCACTCGGATGTGAGGGATGGCTTGGTTGGATTTCACCCAACCTAGGTTCTTCATGGTTCTTCTTGATATTTGGTTGGTTGGTTCGTTGGTCGGTTGGCTGGCTGGTTGGCTGGTTGGTTGGTGGTCAAGTTCAGATCTTTTCGAGATGTTTTTAGTGTGCAAACAGACATCCTCCAGTTGAGTGATCCCCTCTGGACCGGATTTCCACCCCGAAGAAAAGGAGCAGCTCCGCTAAAAAACATGCTTGTGATGATGGAAGCGGGAGAATGGTCAAAGCACCACGTGGCTGGCATGCAACCTCCAAAATCGTCTTGAATTTATCCATCGTGCTTAGTTGTTGGCATGCAATTGTCCCCTCTGTAGAGAATCAAGAAGCAGCTTTCGGCTTTCGGTCTCAAGCTCTCTAATTAGTCAGATTGCCAGAAACTAGGAGCATTTTTTCCCCCTACTGAAAACCAACATCGCTAAGGAAATGACTTTGGAAGATCTTCCAATGAATTTCATTGTCTTGGTTTAGTTGGGAAAATCGACAGGAAACCATTGGTTTTCTCACTAAATATCATGGGTTTCCTGTAATTTCTTTTCAAGCAATTCCGGGAGAATTCCAACTGGCGGCTTTTTCAGGCTCCATGTGAGTCAAAGTTGTTGCCCCAAAAAGATTCGATACAACAAATTGCCATCTCATTTCGTGACAGACTTACAGAGCCAAAGAAATCAAAAGATCCCGACCCAATGACATCCATCAAATATGGGTGACATTCCAAGCGTTGCCACTACCGACATTTTCGTCGACCAATATTCCCATGTTTCTTGATGAATTAAATCCCAATATCTTATCAATCATATCAATCACCTTCCTTTTGTTGCTTGTGATCCCAACTTTTCTGAACAAGTCGACTCCTGGCTCTTGCTGCACTTTTCCGCACTTTTGGTCAAGTGAAATCCCCTCTACTCTATCTGTTTCTATGACTTCAACGTTCCCCTTTTGATCACCCGGATTCAGCACCGGGGCACGTTGGCCTTCTGGCACAGCGCCTCCCAGCCTTTCGGATGGTCCCTCTCGATCCCCTGCAACCTCGGATGGGAAACGGTAGCTATTGAAGCCATGGCCCAGTCGAAATCGTGGATTTACCATGATTTACCCATTAAAAATGATGATTTACCCATTAAAAATGGTGATTTTCCAGTTCGCTATGTAAACGTTTTCCAGAGGCTACTTGGATGTTCATCCAAAAAAGGGTGTTTGCTGTGAATCTTCGCAAAAGATGGGGGACGATTCAAGGTACTGTGCTGTAAGTTGTCCATCCAGCTGATGCGAATAGACAATAGGGAAATCGTTGACCTGCTCGGGACACGAAAAATATCCACTCCTGTCCAGGTAATCCTAACATGAATCCCTTCTCCAAAAAACATGAAATGAAGACCCCCATCCCCAAACCATAAACGGGAAAGTTCTCTCTTCATTGGGGGGCCATCTCGGGAAATTCGATTGGGAAAGTGATTACTGCGAGATGAAGACCTGCTGCCCAGCAACAACTCGCCAAACAGACCACGTCCGGGAGAAATGAAGTAGACCTCAGATACTCCCAAACATCACTTCTGGAAAACATCTGTTGCGTGGTGAATCCATCTAGATGTTGGGTGATCAATTTCCCATCTTTTCATGGCTACCTCACCATGAACTTCGCCATGGAGCCAGTTCGTATTACCCTATAGCCATCAACCAATCATGATTAAGTAAGGATATACAGTAATATAACCATCAACCAGCCACCATTTGGAGGATATCTCTATAATTATAATAATATAAACCAGTCATGTATGGGATATCATGGGATATCATGGGATATCATGGGATATCATGGGATATCTCTATATATGACCACCATTTGGATTCATTTCCCCTGTTGGGAACGCGCACACATCATTTCGACGAACAGGGCCTGACGAGGGGTCTGGGCATGTTCTCCGAGCCACGTCTACGACTTCATTGCTGTCTGACAAGGCCACATCAACGATGTCCTGCACCCGAGGCCGCGGCCGCGGAATGGAGCGCATCCAAAAGCCATAAACGAACATCTAGTGTAAAATAACCATATAGCCAATATATAACATTATATATAACCAATATTAATGAAATGATCCGCAACCTGTTCTTGTCATGAACTGCGTTGGGGAATCTGTCTCTGTTGCTTCAACTTCTTAGAGCCGTTTCCATCATTAAAGTATTAAAGAAAAGCAGCAGTTTCTCATAGAACAACTCGCGTAGTTTTGTCAAAGCAACATCTTCGCATCTTTCTCCAAAGGGAACTAGAAAAACTCACTGACTGTACAGCAACCCCCAAAAAGATGCCCCCGAAACCAAGAAATATTGCGGAAAACGTCATCGAATTACCATCCTGGTTTCACACTTTTCGGTATCTTTTTGGGGGTAATATAGTTCTTAAAGCAACATCTTCAAGGATCGCACGTTGGTTGAACTCACAAAGGTGAATTCAATGGTGTGTGGTAAATATAACAAAATATGACTGTAGTTAATGGGGTTTATCAACCAACAAAACTCGTGGGCCCACCTTGTTCCCTTCCCATCAACGATCATCCAGGAAGGCGCCTGTGCTGCCGCAGCTAAAATCTCATCCTTTCGACGGTAGAGCTGTGGCGCAGCAGGGTGGACCTCTACTTTTCGCTGCGGCTCGAATGCTGGGGTTCTCCAAGACACGGGGGATTAAAACTCTACAGTTTATAGCATGGGCCCCTGTGATGGGCCTATTTTTGCTGATTTGGTGGAATTGTTGGGGTTGGTTGGTTCTGGGCCCCCGCTGCTTTACAGCCCAAATCAAGATGTCAAGTATAGTGCCCTCTTCTTCAGTGCCGAGAAATTTCACCCTGCCAAAATGTGGAACTTGTCCCAGTGTAAAGGTTTACTAGTTTGAGGAGACAAATATCCTTTTATTCAGTATGGGTGTGGGGATCTGAAATCTGGAATGTTCTTACCCTAGGGTATCCCTCTTCCTAGTGGGCAGAATCCCAAAATTAAGGGCCCACCAAATGAAGGCAGAATAGCTTGCAGTTCATTTAGTGGTGACTTAATTTTGGGATCCAGTCGGGGCCTTAAGACATCTATGTGGGGGGGCCAGCTAGGGTTTGACAACCCCATATATTATATCGACCAATATTTAGGGTTTAAAAAACAGAATATCAATTTTGAAATGTCTTGCATATTCTTTTCTGAGAAAGTTGCGGTTGGACAAGGGCAAGAAATTAAAACAATTGCTGACCGACAAGCTTGAGACAAGGAAACTAATGCAGGTTGCTGGGGCAAACAAAATATGTAAAAGAAAATTTGCATAAGGAACCACATAATACATAAATATAAGATTATATAAGGGGTATAAGGCTATATAAGACATATATAAGGAAGGGAAATTAAGGCCCACTACAAGGGCCCGTGCTATGATCTCTTGAAAGACCATCAAGAATGGAGATATATGACTTGTGTACAATATGTACTTATGTAACCACCACCCATTGGATATACTGGGACACAGTGAGATATATATATATATAATACAATATATATATATTATACATACACAACAATATGATATGTGGTTTTGCCCAAGATGGGGCATTTTTAGATCCCAAATGAAACCCAACAGACGAACCAACCACAGAAGTGTTTGGTGAACTATTTGACTGCAGGGTGCGGCCTTGTTGAATCTATAGCTGATGGATAACCAACACACCGGCGATCTGGGGAAATTGTAAATCTCATGCTGGAAAACACATGAATATGGCAATAATATGGCATAATATGGCAATAATATGGCATAATATGGCAATAATATGGCAATATAACATGCATTAATCATCATGAATTAATGGCAATAGCATGTTTTATATAATGCATTATAGATAATACTATTTGTTTCTGGCTTTGTCTGACAATAGGGAGTACCCCACAATCCATGCTTGATCACCTGCCAAGTCGGGTCCATAGAATACCTTGGGGGAAACAAATTCATTATTTAATTTTCAAAGATTTGACATCGAATAACAATACCCTGGCCCTTGCCATGTTTCCTTGGTTAGGCCAGACACAACTGTTGGTTCCCAGGTTATTTCCTGGTCCGGGGCCATGCCAAGCCTTCTTGTCGAAGTAGGTCCAATTCACGTTGCCAGTGCCCGGCGGGCAGACCAAAGTGTAGATATCTTGCAATGTCACGCCCAACCTGGGATGATGGAAGCTGAGCCGTGTTAGCTACCCATTGAAAGCATTAAAATCATTAAATCAAACGGACGGTGGAATGATGTGGAATGCTTTACGGACGACCGAAAGCAAAGTGTCACCAACAAAGACTGGGTTCACAGTGGTTCGGGGGCCCAACCCACCCAGCTGGGAATAATGCTGGGAACATCACTGGGGTCCGAATTGGCACCCAGCTAGGAATTAGCATCCTAGATGTCACGTGCCTCCATGCCAAGTAAGTGGTTCAAGGAACCTTCTCTCTTGCTATTTGCTAACATACATGGTTGACATTGTGTGGCCCTTCTTGCGTGGCCCTTCTTGTGTGCACCAATGCTACATTGTCATCTTCTTGGATATATACACAACCACGGATCCCAATGTAGTCTGGACCTGGGCATTTTTTATGTGTTTGGCTTAACTCACCACTGTTCCGAAAGTCGAACTCACAAATGAGACGTTTTTTGCCCACCATCTATGTAAATCCTTCATGTATACATAGTATACCATGTTCCCAGCTGGAAACCTCTATTTCGTTCGGAGACCTTCGGAGATTTCCCAGGAAATCACCATGAAATTTGACACCACAACTTCCACCGAAACAGCGAGCCGCAGCATCCGAGCCATTAGCAGTTTCTTCTCAAAGACTTCACCTGTGAAGATGAGATGAGCTCCACTGACATCCACTGACTATGGTTTTAGACATATTCTACCAATATTCTACCAATATTCTACCAATAATTCTAAGGCTTTTCCAAGATATTTCAGAAAATTTCTCCGGAATTTCCCACGGATATTCAACACATATCGGAAACATCGAGTCTTGGATCATCCCATTGATCATCCCATATCATCCCAACCACTGAAATCTTCACGTCGACGCTTAAGCCGTGCCGTTGAAGCACGGCTAAGTTATGACCAGGTCCGCAACGGGGCCGTTGGGGATCATTCTCCCAAATAAAATGTTTGAAGAATCCAAAAGATCTCTCCGATGATCCCCATTTTTTTCGATCTTCGCAGTTCTTGGCAAAGTTCTTGGTGACGAAAAAATGCCGTCCGTCACTCAGTTCGAGCGCCTCCATCTTTGGTTTTGAAGTCCGTGATGAAGACGATGATCGGCCTCGAAGGGATGGTCCTATCCCTGGACTTTTCGTGTTTTTCACTTGCGGCAAAAGAGTCTTGATATCTCTTGATACCAAAGAAATACAAACAATCCAAAGGACCACCGAAAAAAAAAAAAAACATGTGTGGATGGTTCACCCATGGGTTGTCTAGTGTAGTATCTAATTGTCAACAGAAATCGACCTTTTATTATCCAATAATCATCGCTTTAAGGCAACCATAGATTGCTCATAGACATTCATAAACCACAAATATAAGTATATATATATATAACATTCATGAATGATTGATCCTAATCTATACTATCTATACATATGCACTATACTATCTATATCTATATATATATATAAATATACATTTAAAATTAAAAATATACCAGGTCTGCGGTTCAACCCCGAAGCCGTGCCCCTCCTGGCATCTTCCGGTGCTCCCATGTGGACGGCTCTCCATTGCCACAGCTCCGCAATGGCCATGAGGTCGTCTAACTGGGCATATCTGGGATCTCCAAAGATCATTTGGATATAGATGGATATAGCAACTCCCTTAACTTTATGATTTGGGTCGTCATTATCGCCATGTATTTTATGGGGATATAGCGAGGAAATACACTATAGAAAAAAAAAAAACAGCGGTTTCAGGGATGTCATAACCAGTTCACTGACTCCATGGCCCGTCTAATAATATAATTACGTATATATATATAATTGGGGGAATTGTGGAATGCAAATATGTTATAATTTGGGATGATTTCCTGTGACTTAGGCTTTTGACATTTGGGGCTATAATTTCAACTGCTTTATTGGGTATACGGTATACGGTATAGTTGGAGTTCTTGCCATCAGAAAATGTATGTATCAATTAATATGTAATTTCAATTAATTTCATATATCAGCAACAGGATCATTTGAGTTTGACTGACAATGGGGTACTCCTAAAATCTGTTGGATTAAAACTTCATGTTCCAAGTTACATGGCAAGAATCGAACAAACCAATTGGCTTGGCCACAATGAAATTGGAACCAATTGGCCGCCATTGGCCCCATACATTTTGCACGAAGCGAACAAAGTATCCCATTGGGGGTCTATCATTTTTGGATAACAGGAGGCAGGCTTGTGATTTTCCAATTCACCAGTGACAAACTGGGTCGTTGAATCTGTCGCATGAAAATCCACAACAATTTGGCACGCCTTCCCACATTTATTGACAGAATTTATTACTCTTTATTTTGCGATATGAAGATAAACTCTGTCAATTTTGCAGAGTTTACTACTATTTATTTGGGATCTACCACATGTGTGACCTTGGGCGTCCTGCAGATCTGTGGTTCACCCAATTTATGGTCACACTGATTCAGTGGTCCAATGCAGAATTCTTGCCGGCGCTGCGAGCAGCGTCTTCGGTCGAAGAAACAACATTTGGATATGGCAAAATGATGCCAAAATGTGTAGGAAACTGTCAGTTGACTAGCCATGTTTGTATTCTTCATCCTATTTTTGCTGCTATCCAAGTTCGATCCAGACACCAAAACCCCCCATTTCGTTTCAACCGGCTGGATCCAGCGTGCCAGGGTCCCGGACTTCGAAGTCCGAGAAAATGACCAGAGGTAACAACCTCTGAGGCCCAAATTCCAGAAATCCGTGAGAAAAACCGTCTTTGTTCACCCGTTTCCAATGTCTGTGGGGAAGGGGGGAGATGATGACCTAGATTCCTAGACTTTAGGTGGTAGGCTATTTTTGATAGAAACATGGAGTTCGAGCGTGCCATGCTGGGGCCCAAGCTCATTGCTGTGCCCATAATCCATCTTGTCTATGAACTCATTTCTTCAGCTTAGAATGGTGATTGGAACCAGTGGCTCCCTTAGACTTGGCGACAGGAACCACAACCATACCACTGATGAGTCACTGCTGTCCGGGTGATTGTTGATGGCCAGTACCGAAAAATGTGATGATTTTGAATGATCGTGCTGTTGACGGGGACTGTGGCTTGCAGGATAACCGAAACCATACCTTGCTTGGATCATTTGAGGCGTCTGAAAATAGAAAGCTACCCCAATCGTAGGTTAACCAATCCATTGTCATCCCCCTTTCCCGTTGACATCTCATGCCATCTCAATATTTGGTCACCAACTTTTAAACCTGAACATCATTCCGACTCATGTCCCTTCGTAACTTCCAAATTGGCTGATTCTTCAAGCCGTTGGAGTAGATCCAGGGCCATTTCTCACCACCCATTTCGCCATTTCTCAGTAAAGCCACGGAGGTTTCATGGCCAGTCGCGGGGGAGGCACATCTGAAACACGCACCTTCCGCAAACAGTTTTTCCGGAGGTTCCCATGGCAAAAGAGTGAAAAAAACATGAAACATGTTGAGTGAGAATGCGTTTTAACACCCAAAAAAATAGAGAATGTTAAATTCGTCACTATCTTTAAGGTTCTTTATTGTACGTTTCAACATCTTTTTGGGGGTTCCTATACGTATATTAAGCACACATTCCACGACTAAAAGAGATACATGGTGTTGCCTTGAAATTGAGATTGGCAATTTTAATGGATGATAAACTATAGGGATTGCAAGGTTTCAAATTCCTCTTACAAAATGTAGGTATTTATATGTATTTAGCCTTTGGCCAATAACACAAACCGAGTTTGGAATGACAGGTTTTTATTTCTGATTTGGCAATGATGGTCATTTGCCAAAATACAATAATTCACAGATTTAAACATGTCATCCAACAATATCTTAGGCGCAAAGCAAACCTATGTTCTTATAAGCCGCGACTGGGTTGGTCCAGAAAACCGGGGGTCTACCCCAAAATTGCAATCTTCATAGGGGAAAATGTGGTTTTGATCATGGGATTCTTGTTGTGAGGTCGCTAAAAAATCATGGCTGGCTGAATTGGGGTGTAAAGCTGAGCCGTCCAAAAATGTGCCCCTGCTTTTGCCGGCTAAAGATGATAATTTAAGTTTGAGTTGGCTGTATTCACGCAAATAAACCTTATGCAAAATATGTGTATAGATATGTATTCTACGACATTGTAGTATTGTATATATATATTGTATGTAAAGATATATAAAGTATTATATGATATATGCGCTGGATAATGACAACCAAGAGATATTTTAATGGATAAACAAATACCACAATTATATCAGTCAAAACAAATACCACAATTATATCAGTCAAAGCGCCTCCTTCAGGATGGCGCTCACCGTGCTTAGGGCGGCAGGATCTCGGGGAAACTTCAGATGGCTCTCCATGGCCCTGGCGCCCATTTGGGTCTATGATGGTCTATGGTATATGTGGGGCGACATATTATGAATATATATATACTTAGAACATAGTGTGGACAACATGTGAATAGTGGGTTACATATTACATATACATCAGAACACACACATACACATATATATATATATATCTATATACACGATGTAGTCTACGTCTATCCGATATATACATATATATATATACACACTCCTGTAAACTTTCACAAATAGTAAATGTGGAAAAACCGCCATGAAAGTAGATCATGTTCCGAGCGGGAAGCCATGGTTGTTTTCCAAATCGTTTTGTTAGTTTACCCCAGTGTGTATGGATGTGTCTGAAAAATCCGTATACCTCCAAATTGGACCCGGTTTCAGAGGGAAAATGATGAACAACCCTGCGATTTGGGGTACTTTTCGGACAAAGCCACATCTTGTTGCAAATTTATTCAGTAGTTATATAATGTTATCTATGTTGTTGTATATATAGTTTATATGGTACAATTGGATCATCCACGGGCTATCTGTTTTAAAGTCCGAACAATTGGTGGTTCAATCATTCTCCTCACATGCCTTTGGGTGCGGCTATATTTTGGAAGCCCAAGTTGTAGAAGCAAGCAACATGAGTATTTCACTGGCCAAAAGGTGGAATGTCACCAACACAAACCCGGAGTTCACCACATAAACAGGATTGATTGTCGCCAAAATATCAAACATGTGGATCTGAGAAACGAAACAGGAAGCGAAGATCGCTCAGCTACAATAAACATGGTGGTTTTCAACATGTTCGAACCGACAAACGAAATTACTGAAAGCGACCGATTTCATGTCGTGACTTTGCCGATGAAAACTGGAGCGGATGATCTATGTCCCACTTGAACATCGGGACAAACGTCTAAGGTTTGAAGGTTTATAGCAGTCCATATCAGCATCATCTGGTTGGTGATTAAGCCTTCCGTCCCCAAAAAACCAAAGGATGCTCGCCAATTTAAGGATCATCCCAGAAAAAAGGATGCCTGGGCTGCATCGAAGTTATGTTTCACGACCAACCAGATCCAACATGATCCAACCAGTGGTAAGGTTAGATCTCCAGTGGTGAACCATCGCCCATGACCCATTCCCAGATGAAATGCTGTCGCACCTTGGCTGCGGCGCGGTGTGTTACTCGCGCTCAACAGCCCATGCCGGAAAAAACGGGTCCAGTGGTGGAAATCGGGTCACTGCTGCTTGGTGCTGGTAGTGCTGGTAGCTGGGTTCAGTGGGTCATTTTGCCCCTGCAACCTTCAAAGATGTGGAGCCAAAGGTGTCCTGCCTGCCACCTTGAGGCCCGCCCAAGGAACAGCGTTTCACTTCTATGGGTTGGTCTCACAGTTGGGAAATAAACAATGATAATATATGATAATAAACCACTGAACCATGGGATGATTCTTGTGGTTCCAAAATTTTGAGACGAACCATGATGAACCCCATATCTGGGGGACATCGTGCACCAAAGCACAAGATATCTCACACATAGTGACACAGAGTCGATTGCAATTCCAAATACTAAAAACTGGCAAGATCATTCCCTCAAAATAGTGCCAAGCACACAGCACGGTGGAGACTTCCGAAGTGTGTGGTTGAGCATCCTTCAACAGACAAAACCGATCAAGCAAAAGAACAAAAAGAAACCAGGGACGTGAATTCAATAAAGATGCTCATGGAGAATCTAAAAGCATCTTACCAATCTTATACCCTCCGGTAATGTGACATAGCTACGGAAAATGGCCCAGTTCTAGATGATTTGTCTATTCGAAACTGTAATTCTCCATAGCATTCCATAGCTATGTTAACTATTACCCTCTGGTTATGACTAACAGTTCGCCATGGAACATCACCATGCTGTTAATAGGTAAACCATGGTACACCATCTATTTCCATGGGCCATTGTCCATAGCTATGTTAAATATTCATTTACCAAATAGGGCTATTAGATCTGGAATCCCTGCCCACACAACGACTGTGGAGCCCATCTTTTCCTAGCGGCATATCCTACCAGCCGCCGGATGGCAGTGAAACAAATCCGATCTCATGACACAAAGCGTGTGTCAGAAAAGTATGGCAAACAAATCAGGAATCTTTATATTATATGTCATGTAAAGTTTCATATGCATATGATTGCATATGTATATTTTTGGAAACATACCTGCAAGCAAGCCTGGTATATTTTGATGAACATGGGTCCCTGGGCTATGGATGGGATTGGTTTACCGGCCACATTGCCACATCTCACTTTTGCGTTTCGAGCTGAAGGCGCGACCCCGCGGGAACCTCGACAAGCAACCCACGAAAAACACCAACATGAGTCAACACTGTGGCATTAGGATGGTACCCTAGAATGGATGTGTATTCCCCAAAGAAATGCTACTAATAGGTTTTGAACCAATCCCTATTTCAGTAGGAACTTACCTTTTTTTATTCGGGGGGTGCTATAACTATCTATAACTCCTGTATA